AAAAAAAAAAAAAAAAAAAAGAGTAAGATTTACAGAAGTAAGGGAATGGGAAAAGCCTAGAAGCAAAAGGTAGATGGGATAAGTTAAGATAAGGAAAGCTGGTTAGAAACTAAGCCAAGCTAAGGCTGGGCATTCATAAGTAATAATAAGCCTCCGTGTGTGAATTTATTTGGGAGCTGGGTGGCGGACCCCCAAAAAAGAGTAAAAAAAAATAACAACAATTGGGGTAGAGGGGAGCAGCAAGCCTGAGGTGATCACTCTGAAGGTGAGGGAGGCCACAGGCTATGGGATGCTGGGAGGCACAAGGGCCTGGAAAAGGCAGGAGGTGGATTCTGTCCTCTAGCCCTGATGGCATGCTGGTTCAGTCCGGGGTAACCTAGAAGGGGGCGTGGCACACCACACCCCTCCTCTTCCTAGCTCTGTCCCTTCCAGCCCCAAAGTCATCAATTCCGCCACTTTACTTCCAGGAGACGGTGTTGTCGCTGCATAAGCCAAAATCAGTGATGCCAACACACCACAAATGGAAATTTCCAGATCCTTGAGCCCACACGGACCTTTCCTCTTATTAAGCTGGTTATCCAGGGTCTTTTGTTATAGTAATGGAAGGCTGGCTAACACAGGCTGTAAGGGAATAAGTTTGTGCCGTGTTTTAAAAACTCGTGTGTGTGTGTGTGTGTGTGTGTGTGTGTGTGTGTGTGTGTGTATACACACATGCATGCACACATGCCAGGGAAGGCAGGCCCAGAGGATCAATCTCTAGATCCAGTTCTTTGTTGTTTCCGCTGTGCTTTGTACCCCACTTGCAGGCGATTCTTCTGCCTACCTCCCCATCTCCCAGGAGGAATGCTGGGATCACAGCTATGCACCACCTCATCTGGATTATTTACATGGGTTCTGGCTGTTGAATTCAGGTTGTCAGGCTTAAATAGCAAACATTTCTGCCACTGTGTGTGTGTGTGTATGGGGGGAAGGGATAAAGTGTATGGGGGCATGCCCATGTAGGAAGGGGCATGCATGTGTCACAGCATGTGTGTGAAGGTCAGAGGACATCTTGCAGGAGTCAGTTCTCTCCTCCTGCAGTGTGCGTTCCAGGCACACACTCAGGTCCTCAGGCGTGGCAGCAAGCCCCTTCACACACTGCTCCATCTCACAGGCTCATCGTGAGCTCCATCCCCACAGGATGTCAGGATGGCTATTCTCTTCTGGATTTTCACATTCACTCTCTTCTTTACTGCGAGTCTGCCCTGTTGCTGCGTGGGTGCATTCTTCCTGCTCCAGGCTTTCTATCTGGAAGTGTCTTCGGCCTCTGACTTCCCTTACTTCCCACCTGTACACAAAGCTCCTTCCAGGGGACTCTTTCAGGCAGCATGGAGTTGGGTCATCTTTTTCCAACCCACTTTGGCAATGACCACTGAAGCTGGTGCCTTTGGGCTGCACCTGGTGGCACCATTGCCCCTTGGGAGCTTTCGCTGGCTGATTTAACTTTCCTGTTCTCTTTTCTGTTTTACCCTTCCTGCATCTGAGAGACCCTTGGATATTTCTTTCTGGAATCGTTTTTTGATCTGCCTGATGGGGATTTGCACGTACCTTGTTGAGCAGATTTTAAAGCCCATACTATGGGTTTTACAACACACCCTCCACGCTCGCTGTCGTCCACTCACCACTTGGAGTGAAATAGGGATCCTTACCCCCTCTCCATCCCCCCATCCTTCTGTTTGGTATGTAGCTGTCCTAAACACATCTATATACATCACGAGCCACATAGACCGCGGGGAAAGTTTTGCCTTATTCCTGGGACACAATTTAAGACGGTTGAGGAAAGTCACATTCCCTGCATTTACTCAGAGTCTGCAGCTCCTGGCGGTTCCCCACTGTCCTGCTGATCCACTTCGGGGCCTGTTGGCCATGGTTCTTCTCATCTTCCTTCACTTGGGAATGGCTCCACTGCCCCTCCATTCCGAAGGGGTACTTTCGCTAGGTATAGAATTCCCGACTGTCAATACTTTAAGAATCTCAGTGCTGGGCCACACAGCTGTCACCACATCTGTCTTTGTCTTACTGTCTGAGAGTCCTCCCGTCTTTAGTTTTTTTTTAATGTTTGACTCTGATGTATCTCGGTATGTATTTCTTTGGGTTTATATTGGTTGGGATGAGTTCAACTATTTGTATCTGTAGGTGTTAATCTTTCACCAAATTTGGAAAGTTTCTAGATGTATTTCTTCAGTTTCCTAAGGGAGGGGAGATTTATCTTAGTCAGTATTCTGAAGCCAAATCCTGTTTTTACAAACCCATGTACTTTCTCTTCTCCTAACCACCAGTGGCAGGAATGCTGGATCTTTTGCCATGCTTCCACAGGCCCTTGAGGCCCTTGAGGTTCAGTGTTTTTTTTAGATAGGCCCCACTATGTAGCCCTGGCTGGCCCCCTAAGTCACTCTGTAGCCCAGGCTGGCCTCGAACTCACAGAGACCCACCTGCCTCTGCCTCCCAAGTGCTGAGGTTAAAGGTGTGCGCCACCATCCCGGTCGAGGGCCAGTTTCTAATATTCCATTTCTTCAGGTGTAGACTCCGTCTTTGAATCTCCTGGTTCGAATCTCCCGGTTCTTCCTCAGACCCCTTCCTTCTGCTGATGAGACCCAGCCAGTAGCTTTCTATTCTGATTCCGACTCCAGTTCTACGGTTTCCACCTGACTTCTCCATTATGCATCTGTTTGTTTGTGGGAACCTTCTGTTTTCTTGTCGTGATCACAGCAATGTGTTACCATGGCTACTGTGCAGTCCTTGCCAGATAATTCCAGTATCTGTGCTGACTTGACGTTTGTGCCTATTGATGTTCTTTTTTATTTGAGGTTTTCTTGGTTCTCAGCATGACATATGATGTTCTATTTTTTTTTTTTTTAAGATTTCTTTTAAAACCATGTGTAGACAGGGGAGGGAGCGTACATGAGAGTTCAGTGCCTGAAGAGGTCAGAAGAGGGCACCTGATCCCCCTGAGCTGGAGTTAACAGCTGTTTGTGAGCCCCCTGATATGGGTGCTGGGAACTGAACTTAGGTCCTCTACAAGAGCAGCAAGTGCTCTTAAATGCTGAGATTTCTCTTCAGGCTCCTCATGTGATTTTCAGTAGTATCCTAGAGCCTTGGAGTATGTGTTATATGTTAGGAACATGAGTGAAACTATTTTGTGTAACTTGGAATAATGTGATGTCTGTAAGATTAGAACTTGCCAACCAGGTAGCTCTGAGAGGTAGGCCTCAAACAAGCCCAGGACTGACTTTGATATGCTAATTATGTGTTAGTGGTATGCTAATGAACCAACTCCAAGGTGGTGTTGATGTGCCAGTGAACCAGCCCCAAGATGAGAGCCCTGATAGCACAAAACAACCATCCATGAAATGAGAAAAACTGGAACTTTGGAGATGGTCTCTAGGATCACACTGCCATGCTCCTGAGACATGGCTGCTCTAGCCTCTGTGTTGATACCCGTCGTTGAGGGGACTTGAGACTCTGTGTGGTCTTGGCTTTAGTGACTGCTGAACTTCCAACCCTGGTGCTGGGCTCACACATGGCTGCTGGTCAGTGCTGGCCAGTGCTCTCAAGGATCTCCATCAGTACCATCCTTCCAGCCTGCCAGAGTTGAAGGATTCTGTGGCAGATTTTGGTCAAGCCTGTGAGCTTCCAAAGTGTCCCCAATGAAACCCAGCATTTTCTGCCCAACCATCCCCACTTAGTAAGATGTCTGTTCAGCTTTTGTATTGGAATGGTATTATAAGAGATGTTTGTGTGAATAAACCAAACCTATTCAAAAGACAAATCTTGTGTGAACATCCTAATTGCCAAGCTCCTCACAGCCCATAGGCCTTGCTTCCCCACATTAAGAGACTCTGGAAGAGGTCAAGACACCACAGGAAAATGGCCCACAGAATCAACTAAGCAGGGCTTATAGGATCTCACAGAGACTGAACCTACATCCTGGGAGCCTGTATGAGTCTGACCTACGTCCTCTGTCTATATGCTATGGTTATGTAGCTTGGGGTTCTTGAGATACTATTAACAGTGAGAGCAGGACTATCTCTGACCCTTTTGCCTGCTTTGGGGACCTTTTCCTCCTACTGGATTGCCTCATCCAGCCTTAATATGAGGGGATGTGCCTGGTTTTATTATAACTTGATAAGCCATGTTTGGTTGATATCCCTGAGAGGCCTGCCTTTTTCTCAAGAAAAAGGGGCACTGGAGAAGAGGAAGGAGGGGAAACTGATTAGGATGTAATATATGAGAGAGAGAAAAAATTTAAATGACAGAATGCATGTTTTAAAAGGATACACAACAAATTTCACCCCAGTAAACCACTTGCTGAATTAGAGAGACAGGCAGACAGACAGACTGACTCTGGATCTTGTAATCTAATGTGTAGGAACACCTAAGACTTGGGCTAGTGGGGGCCAGAGGGGAGACCTGTCGGTCTCAGTTGGGGGAAGCCTCTACGCGCTGGCCATCTCTGCCAGCAGGGAGAAGGGGGTCGCTCTCCTGGGTACAGAGTTTCACCTTAGTTATTCTTCAGTTCTGTAACGTTAGATCCGTGGTTACAGTTCTTGGCTGTGCTTGGCTTTCAGTCCTTTGGTTTCGTCTCTGTTGTTGTTTGGAAAGACAGCTGTCGGTGGCTCCTCACCCGCTCCGTGCTCCCTCCCCTCTGGGCGCTGTGTACAAGGGAGATTCCTCACCGCTGTGGTCAGTGCATCTGCTTCTCGGTGAGAACCTCTGCGGAGTGTGTTTGGACTTATTAATGCTGTGGAGTTTCTTCTTCTTAATTGAAGTTGTTAGGTTTAGAGCGAGACTCGGTTCTAGGAAGCCACAGTGCAGGATCTGCCTCCAGGCAAAACACTTATTAATGTCGTCGGCAACCCTGCAGAGGGAAGCAAAACCCCAGCCTGCCCAGGAAAGGCAGAAAGGCATTTCACTTTGTGTGTGTGTGTGTGTGTGTGTGTGTGTGTGTGTGTGTATGTTTTATAGGCACGTATGTATGTACACCACAGGCATGCCCACTGCCCCTGGAGGCCAGAAGAGGGCATCGGACCCCTGGGAACTGGACTTAGAAAGGTTGTGAACCACTATACAGGTACTGAGAATTGAACCTGGGTCCTCTGAAAGAGCAGACAGTGCTCTTAACCACTGAGCCAACTCTCCAGCCCCCCAAAGGGCATTTCTTTCAAGGTCCCTTGGGAAGGAGGTGGTAACATGGGAAAGTAGGTCCAAGGTCACATGACATCATCAGATTAAGCTGAGAGGCAGTATGTTCTTTGTTCAGGTTAGACAGGTGTTTGGAAAACCTAAGGATGTTTCTGGTTAAGGGGCATGTGGAAAATTCCACAAAGCAATGGGTTTTCTTTGGTGCATGGCTCAGTGAGCACTCAGCCTCTGGGCCTGAGAATAGGGACCCCGGGTGTGTTCATACATTGTCTGCAGCTTTCTCCCCTAGGGCTTTGTTAGCCAGAAGCCCTGTCTCCAAGATGGAAGACTCCCTGCCTATGTGATGAGACAGAATGTCTCTCCTGGAAGATGGAGGGAGACTTGGAAGACTCAAAAAGCTCCCCAAATCCACAAGGCTCAGGCTCAGCTCAGCAGTTAATGGGGTTCACACAACTCCTCCCTGAGGTTTTAAAAACAATGAACACTTTCTGGAGAGAAAAGACCAGAAAGGTGGACTTTCTGGCGATGTAGCCACCTCTGAGTCACCAATGTCCCTAAGTAACCCCCAAACACACACTGGCTCCCCATCCTGGACTGCAGTGGGATGGTTTCCTTCATCTGTGCCCATTGGAAGAATAACTGTTTATTCTCATCTCTCCAGAAAATGTCCCTCAACAGTTGAGCTACTCGAATCCAATGGTGGACTCCTGTCTCCATCAGCAGAAAATCCCCCAAAGGTGATCACTTCGGGTCTTAGCTGTACTCAGTCCGCTTTCTTCTCCTCTGACATTCTGTTACCCTCTTCCAGAGTCCTCTCCTTTCCTGTCCTCCCATTCAAGATTTCACTCTGCATATGGATTTCCAGCTCCCCCTTCTGCTGTTTGAATGAAAAAATGAGGACATGGCCGCTCCTCTGTATGGTTGAGGAGAAGGTTAATTGTGGGTAGGAGGGAGAGAACAGCCAGAGGCGTCTGGGAGAGTCGAGACCAGACATGAACCAGACCATGAGAGGCGAGGTGGGGGAAAGGGATGGGAAAGAGAAGAACCAGGAACCAAGAGAGCAAGTGACCAAAATGGCTGGGTGATACAGGAATCCAAGGGATGTGAAACACAGCTCCTAGGTTGGAGAGGTTGAGAATAGGGGTCGGGGTCAGCAGTGCTGGGAGGAGCCACAGGTACTGAGTGAGACTTCTCCTGGGTTTCTTTGAGACCTGACGCTGTTAAATCAGTCTCTCTGTTGGTTCCTTATTGTTGGTTGTTGGTGTCACAGTCAAATTTAATTAGCGTCTTCCAATGTGCCCGTTACCGTGTCTACTCTATTTCTCTACATACGTATGCGCACAATTATATACATACTGATGTGTATGTGTGTGAGTGTGTGCAGGCATGTGCGTGCCACGGTGCATGTGTGTGGGGGGGGTCAGAGGATAATTTTCAGGACTCTGTGCTCCACTTCCACTGTGGGTGCTGGTGATCAACCATAGGCCACCAAGTTTGCCACAGCAAGGACTTTACCCTCCAGGCCACATCACCAGCCTTTCATGTTCTTCTTCCTCTCTTTTTCTTAAGAATTTTTGTGCATGTGTGTGTGCGCCCGTGTAAGTTCATGTACACCACATGTGTGCATGCCCAACGAGGCCAGGAGAGGAACTGGATTCCCAGGTGGTTGCGAGCTTCCCCCACCCATGTGGGTGCTGGGACTCAGCGCCCATGACCGCCGCAAGAGCAGCAAGTGCTCCTCACCATGGGGCCGTCTCCCCAGCCTTTCCCCAACGCTGACATTTTCAAGTTCTGCTTTTAGCACCGAAACCAGCTTGAAGACTGTGTCGGGTCCTGCTCCGCTGCCTGGACATCTGCGGGGTGTCCGGTGCTGCCTCTGCTCTCCTTCCTCTTTTCTTATTTTCCTCTCTGTTAATCATCTGTGGCGATGGATCGGATGTTATATTTGAGCAAGTCTTCGTGGAGATACTTTAGATGGCTTTATTCCCCCTCTAAGGAGAACTTTTCTATTTCTCTGGTTGCTTGGGGGACGCCAGCATTCAAGGCTGGTTTGATCTGAACCGGGGGGATGGGAGCACCACCTTGATCACTCAGGACAGCCACTTTAGAACCCACTGACTACTTAGCTCCTGGGGTCCACCCCTAAATGCTGAGTGGAAAAGCTTGTCATCACCCTGTTCGCACCCCTCACCCTCCGTCTCTCACCATCTCCTTCCAGAACAGCTGCTCTCTGGGGAAAATGAGTCCAGGCTGCAGACTCCACCTCTCCAGGCTCCTCACCTCTTGACTCAGATTTTATTCACTGCTTTTCTTCTCTTTGACGTTTCTAGGAGAGATTTCCAAGTCTCTCCAGCCATGCCCTCACCTTCACTGGGATGATGGCGCTGCTGTCGGGTTAACTCAGGGAGCCCGGGTCTGAGATCCGCATTCCTGGAGCTCTGCCTGCCTGCCGGGTGATGGCCAGGGGCTTCTGCTCTCACGCTCTCCCCAGCAACTTCCTAGGAGCCTCTTCTGAGCATGTCACCCATTTCCTCCTCCCGTGTCTTTCTGGGTCACACAGTTCTGGTCAAGAGGGCCCTCTCCTCTAGCTGGACTCAGACGTTGGAACAAAAGCTTGAAAGACATGCTGGAAAAATTCTGCTACTTGCCTGGAACATTCCATGGCCCAGGCCCACAGAAGAAGGTGCCTGCCTGAACAAAAGAAAAAAAAAAAGAAGAGTAAGTGTGATTGTACTGTGTGTACGTGAGACATCATTTAAGAAAAGTTAAAGAGTGAACTATGCTTTTTAATTTTTTACATTAATTAATTTAGTGTGCATAAACGCCTTGCATGTGCATACACCATACACCATGGCATACATGTAGAGGTCAGAGGCCAACTTTCAGGAGTTCTCTCCCTACCATGTCGGCTCCAAGGATGGAACCCAGGTCATTAGCCTTGTTGTCAGGTGTCTCTACCCACTGAACCATCTGGCTTGCCCTCTAGTAATCTTTTTAAACAATGATAAATCCAAGATTCTGGGAGTGGCCTGCCCAACTGGACCAGGCTCCACCACTTTCCTTCTTCACTTCTCCAGTGACCTCCCAGGTCCCTTGAACTCTGTTCCCAGTGAGCTCTGACGCAGGTGCTGTGGCAGGTCTCTTGTTTTACCTGTGTAAGGGAAATTAACCCAAGGGAGAAGACTGAGCTTCATGGTGCACAAATCCTAAATGGTCTTTTAATAAAAAACCGGAGCCATATATTGAGGTAAATGCTGAGATCAGAGAGACAAAGGAACAAGCCACTAGAGAAACTTCTCACCACCACCGAATCCTCAGGCAAAATGGAAGGTGGGATCCTATGTCCACAAATCCTCTGACTGAATTCCTCTGAGTCCTCAGCCGAAAAGGCTCTAGTTCCTGTCTCCTTATATATCTTTCTCTGCCCAGCCATTTCACTTCCTTCCTAGTGCTGGGATTAAAGGCGTGTGTGCTCCCAAGTACTGGGATTAAAGGTGTATGCCACCACTGCCTGGCTCTGTTTTTCTCCTAGACTGACTCAATCTCATGTAGTCCAGGGTGGCTTTGAACTCACAGAGATCCAGACGGATCTCTGCCTCCAGAGTGCTAGGATTAAAAGTGTGCACCACCACTGCCTAACCTCTATGTTTAATCTAGTGGCTGGCTCTGTCCTCTGATCCTCAGGCAAGCTTTATTTGATACATAAGATATCACCACAGCTTCATGCAGTCCTGTCCTCTGGATGCAGTTGCCCTGGAGCCCTATTGCCTCCCCACATCTAGTAACAGCTCAGGCATACATCGGGGAGCAGCGAGGTTAGCCCTTGGCTCCCCACTCCCACCCTCCCACCCTCCCAACCCACCTCCTACCCCACTGCTGAGCTGTGCTTCTGGGGTGAAGATTTAACAAAAAGTTAATGAATAAGAAAGAAAAATGACAGGATGTTGGTTTAAACTAGTGGCTTATCCTTTAAAATAAATAAGCATAGTGGTCACACTCTGGTAAGTCACGTCCACAAAGACAGAAAACAGACTAAACCAGGAGTGAGGACAGAACAGATGTGGCGGCTCCACAGCCTGAGAGAACATGCACACACAGTTTAATGCTGACAAATCTTAAAATCTCCGAGAAATGGATAATTTCATTGAAGTTCCCCAGATGTCAGAAGTAGAGCTAGGCGATGTAGGACAGAAATGCCATCTGTCATCATCTCGGTTACCTGGGTCAGAGGTTGCAATCAGTTGGGAGGGGTGGGAGCGAGCATCATGGGAGGTGAGTCCCCAAGGTGAGGCAGGGACGTGCTCAGCTGATGGGGTGCCCTGGAGCCATCACAGAAAGACCCTGGAATCATAAGATTGAGAACTGGAGTCACGGCACATGGGAATGAAGGAACCCAGCCATCCCTGGGCAGAGGACACAGAGGCAGATGGGCAGCCATTAAGCAGGGTAAACGTAACTAGAAACAGGGCAGATTCATCTTATGGAAAACACACAAGCCTCAGCGTTGAGACTGAGATGAAACCACTTTAAGAATGCTGTCCCCTCAGAAAAGAGAGAGCATGGGCCCAACCATTTAAGTGTGTGTCGCTGTAAGAAGGCATGTGCAGTATATGTGTCCATGCTGGACAAGGGCAGAGAGATGCCAGCAGGGCTCGCATGCCAGGGATGGAATTACAGAGCGTTTGAGTCTGTCTTCTGTTACTGTAACGAAGTACTCGAGACTGGGTCATCTCAAAGGAAAGAGTTATCGGGGCTCATGATTCCACTACTGTATAGCACTAACAGTGGCTTTGTGCTGTGTCAACCCGTGAGGAAAGGTAGAAGACAGGTGTTGGGTGGTGGGGGGAACCAAACAGAACTGCTCTGCAGCAATCATCTCTGATGGTCACTAATCCAGTCCTGAAAGAACAGCATTAATTCCCCCTCCCTCCCCGATCTCCAAAGAAGTCCATCATCTTGCAGCATATGACACCAGCAGCCAAAGTTTAACAGGAGCTCTGGGGGAGGGGGGGGATCGCATTCAAACCAGCATGAGGCTCAAGGGATCAGCAGCTACTTACACACTTTACTCCGGATTTTCCTGCATTCGGATGCTTAATACGTACGGATTATTTTGTACGTAAGTAGTTTTATTTTAAAACTAAGAAGAGAGACGCATATATTAAAACCAGCACATTTTCAGTGGAAGATCCTGCAATAATTCTACAGGTTGCTTTTTTTTTTTTCTTTTACCAGTGAACAGGGGCCGCATTTCTAAATAGAACAAATCAATAAACGTCATTAAAAGTTAAGCTCACACACACACAAAAAAAAATAAGTGGGTATAAATAGCAAGGACATATTTGAAAAGCCACAGTGATGAGGGACAACTTGCAAATATTTAAAAGTGACAGCAGTATGAATCAAGAATAGAAAGTTATTTTCCCTTTCCTTGTTTTTAAAATGCCAGAGGAGGCTTGGGATGTAGAAAGTCACTCAAGACTGTCACTTCTAACCTAGCAATGAGGCCACACGGCATCAGCCACTCACCCTTTTCTTGAGCCACAGAGACCCCCCACAAGCAGCAAAAAGAAGTGAGTACCAAACGATAAAGCCACTTCTCCCAAAAGAGGGGCAAGTGGCTCACTGGGACTCCACCACCTTTAGTTTGCAGGGGTAGGGGGACTGTCATAAAGACAGGGCTGGCATGGCAGTCATTCTCAAAGTCTAGGTGCATTCCCTAAGGACGAGCTCCATCACGCATTTCATGGGTTCACTTGCTGCCCACCAGAAATAAGGAATAAGTTGGCATTGTATTGCCATTTTCCCTGAATTGCCGTATTCCATCCTGGAGGAAAGTTCCTTAAGACCCAGGAAATCAACAACTCACAAGTCTCAGGAATTCCCTGAAGCTGACCAGATAACAACACTAGGCCCCTCTCTCCCAAAGGTCATATAAGCAGTAAGGGCTGCCAAGAAGAGAAGAGTCTCTGACCTGTTGAGCTGCCTGAGAGTTGTGCAGAGAGCTCCAGGGTTCCAGCTTTCATGATCTGTCAGCTGTGCTGTGCTGGGATTTGATGATGCTTCTGCCTTTAGGTAGTCCCTGCTCCTGTAAGTGACCCCTCACCCACCATCCCATGAGTAACCCCAATAACTCAGCATTTCACCAATTTAGCATCCTTGCCTTAGCCTGACATAGGTTCACTCTCTGAGGAGTATAAACGTTTTCCCCCAGAATAGTGTCACCTACATGTGGAAGGAAGAAACCATTTAACCTTGCCCAGGCTGTCTCAGAAAACAAACCAGATACCTGCCCTGGCTGCCTTTGGAGACCGGCAAAGCCCTGTCCTAGAGACAGGAAAGATGGTATAGCAACATTCCCGCAGATAGCAACCACAAACATCAGTGAACCAATCGCATGAACCCATTGTAGAGGTCTGCAGCAGAGAGGGTGCTCTGTTACCCAGTCAGACTCACTCCAGCTGTTCAGACTTCCTCGTCTGTCACTCCAAACTCAGTTCAACTCACTGTGTTAACAGAACGAAAGAGAAAAATAGAACCTTTCAGACAGACTCGGAAAAACACAACTAAAAATAATGTTTAAAGACCTTCAGCAAGGAGGGAAGTCGGACCGATGGGGAACCCCTGAATCTGATTCAGGACAGCTATCACTGACACCATCCCTATGATAAGATACTGACCAGGTGCCCTGCCAGGTGAGTAGCCAGAAAGGGGCTCGCGTGTGATGATGTCACAGTCATCTGGAAGCCTGGATAGAAGAGGAAAGACACAAGAGAAAACTAGAAATCTCTGTCCTCCCCTTCCCTCCTCTCCTCCCTCTTTCCACCTCTTCTTCCCTCGTCCCCTCCCTCTACTACCTCCTCCCCTCCCTTTTCTCCTCCCCTCCCCTCCTCCTCTCCTCCCTTCCTTCCTTTCTTCCTTCCTTCCTTCCTTCCTTCCTTCCTTCCTTCCTTCCTTCTTCCTTCCTTCCTTCCCCACTTTCTCTCAAAACAGGTTTTTCTCTTCAGACTAAGTCACCTTGAACTCAAGCTCCTCCTGCCTCAGCCTCCTGGATGACGAGGTTACGGGTGTGCCACTACACCTGGCTATAAAGCTCTCTAACTCCCTTTACTCGACCGTACGGCTTTGTGTATAGGAAATCTGAAGGACCCCAGAACTGTCTGAGAACTAGTAAGTAAACTGGGACTGGTCACAGAATAAAACTGAGTACAGACAGCTCGGATGGGTGGGCGGGCAAGATGGCTCAGGGGGTAAGGTGCTTGCCTCTAAGCCTGGCAACCTGAGTTCGATCCCTGAGACCCGTGTGGTAGAAGGAGAGAGCCTGGGGTATCCTTGGACACTAAATAAATACATTCTTTAAATCAGCTTTCATTTTCTACAAGAGCAACAAATAATTGCAGAAGGAACTTTAAAAAAAAAATCCGTCTACCATAAACATCAAGAAACAAAATCCTCGGGAAGCCATTTACAGAAGGGTTTAAGGGATTATTAACTAAAAACTAGGAAATGTCGCTGGCAGAAATTAAGCAAAATGAAAGAAGCCGCATTCATTTAGCCAAGGACTGGGTCTCACTTAAACATCAGTTCTAAATGACTGCTCTGTTCAATGTCTTCCCTGCCATGGTCCCAGCAGACTCTTTTGTGGAAATTGATGGAACCGGTCTAAAACTTAACTGGAGCTGCAAAGGACCTAAAAATAGCCATGCTGTGAGATACTCTCTGAGAATAGAAATGTTCTAGTGAGCATTTTAAGTGGGCCCTCGTACCCGGGGAGCTAAATCTTTAGCTTTACTTAATTTTAATAAATTAAATTTCAATCTTCACATACCTCTAGTGACTGGCTGTATTGGAAAACACAGACCCAGAATCTCAACAGAACTTGAGCCTGCAGCCCAGAATGCAAAGCCTGAGGGCAGTCGAGATGATCCAGTGCACACCGTGCAGGTATGAAGAGGGACAAACACAGACGCCACGTGGAGACCTCTGTATGCAGTCATCCGAGTTGGATGATGTCGCCCAGACAATCAACTGAAGACACAGGAAGTCCCTCAGTGAGGAGACTGACACATCCATCTGTACAGGAACTAATCCGAGTTAACCCACCCCACATCACCACATACAGAAAGCTCAGTTGAGATGAGTCATGAACCTACAAGTGAATATTAAAGCCTTACTGTATGGGGGCCGGAGAGATGGCTCAGAGGTTGGGACTGTTTCCTGCTCTCCCAGAGGATCCAAGTCAGGCGACTCACCACTACCTGTAACTCCAGCTCAGGGGACCCAATGCCCTCTTCTGACCTCCTTGCACACACATATGTTTATATATATATATATATATATATATATATATATATATATATATATATATATTAAACATAAATAAACAGATATATTTTTAAAATAACAAAACTGTACACTAGAAGATATCAGAGTATTGCTATGTCCTGGATGTTGGCAAAACTTTTGGGTACAGTAGAGGCCCCACATTTCTGAATGCTGGTGTTCTTCGTCTTGACAGGGGTTAGGGTTACCAGTATATATCAGAGTGAAAAATTTCACCACGTATGAATTAGTAATCCAAGAATTATAAAGAACTACTACCAGGTGTTGAGCTCTAGTCAACGAGATGCCTGTTGCAGTGCCCTGGTTCTCAACCCTCCTAATGCTGTGACCTTTTGATACAGTTCCTCATGTTGTGATGACCCCTCACCAACCATAAAATTATTTTGTTGCTACTTCGTAACTGTAATTTTGCTACTGTTATGAATTGTAATGTAAATATCTGGTATGCAGGGTGTCCGATTGTGGGTTGTAACCCACAGGTTGAGAACCACTGTTGCAGGGTCTCGGAGCCACAGGGGCTGACGTCTTCCTCTAGCACAAGCGAAGCCACGAGACAGCAAAGGAGGGTGGGAGAGCAGAGGGGCACGGACCAACCACAGCACACACAGAACAGCGCAGCCGCAGACATTCATAACCAGCAAAGGAGGGTGGGAGAACAGAGGGGCACGGACCAACCACAGCGCACACAGAACAGCGCAGCCGCAGACATTCATAACCAGTCACCGCACGGAGAGATGACGTTTGAGTGCTCAACCCTAAATCCAATGTCTCTATCCTCCTATCTGAGGCTCGGGGAGCATTCCAGAAGAGATACTGGAAGGAACAGGAAAGCCAGAGGAAGGGGAGGACTGTTCTGAAGCACCATCTTCCAGGCATGAAGCAGCCATTGCACTCTTGAAATCACAGGAGCTGTGACGACCCTCAGGAGATCCATGGCTCAAGCCGCCAACATCCCGTCACGTTGAGGAAGGGGCTCACAGGTGTCCCCAACAGCTAATGGAAGTTAATGGTTGGCTGAGGGGTGGTGTTTTCTTCAGTTAGGTAGCCACTGGCAAGATGCTCTTGCCCCTGTAATAACCCCTTACCCACATTTCTGTAAGTGACCCTAATGAAACTCATTGGGTGACAGAAAGGAAGGAATGGAGAAAAGAAAAAAAGTAGAAAGGGGTCCAGTTGGGAAGAGAAGGGGTCAGCAGGTGGGAGGGAATGAGAATATAATCAAAACCCTTTATACACATGTAGGAAATGTAATGAAACCCATTGCTATGTATAACTGATACTTGCGAACATGAAGGGCAGTGAAGCTGAGCATCCCTCAGCTGTAAGACAGTGATGCCAGCCCCAGGAGTTCATCTGAGAGATGCGGTCAGAGCAACTTCAATCTCAGTTGCTCAGATGGCACTGTCCATCCAAAAACAATATATGAAGTGAGAGAGGAATGCTTTGGGAGATATGGGGAGAGCTGGAAGGGAGGAAGTGGGGAAGGACGCAATCTTATTTCATTGTATGTGTGCAAGAAATTCTCACAAATAAGTTATTTTAAAAGAGATTATAATCTGTAATATAGTATTTTTAAAAGATGGTTGTCAAATTAAAAAAAATTAATATGGCTAAATGGATCATCAACACAGCTTGTCTGTGGGATGGAGCCTTCAGAAAAGTGACCTGAGCATGCCCGGACACCACCATCCATGCGCTTAGGTCCCGCGCATAGGAAACAGGAGAGGGATCAAGGCTGACCTCAGGCCAACCTCCAGTGCAACAATCAGAGTGCCGATTACCAAGCAGGGTAGGGAGGGATTGGCTGGCTGGAGGTACCCAGAGCTTTCTGAGTGATGTAAAGGCTCTATATTGAGGTTGTGGTCACACTGTGCAGGAGCACATGTCTGTCATAACCCTCACACTGTTTGTGTCAGTTCTGAGAACTTCACGGTGGGTAAATCCAATTTTTTTTTTTTTTTTTTTTTTTAGGATTTAAAAAAAAAAAAACCAACATAGCTCACCAACCAGGGGGGAATAACTACAGAAGCCATATACCTCCATGTAACAACATGTTGTGGATTCATTAGATGTATTTTTAAAGTAGCATTTTAAACAACAGTAAAATGTGTATTCTACAAAATTCATTTTATGAGTATAAAAAATGGTACATTTGGTGACTGGAGAGATGGCAAAGTGGTTAAAAGCACTGGCTGTCCTGCCAGTGAACCTAGGTAGATTCCCAGCACCTACATGGTGGCTCACAACCATCTGGAACTCCAGTTTGAGGGGCTCCAACACCTGTAAGTCCAGTTCCAGTCCAGTTCCAAAGCCCTCTCCTGGCCGCTGAGGGCACTGCACACATGTGGTACACATACGTACATGGGTACACACTCAACATACATAAAATAAAAACTAAACAAATCTTCCAAATATTTTTTAAATGGTATACTTAGTTCATTCCCTGAGCTGATTTACTTGTTCCTAAGTCACAACTGACTTTAAGGCTAGACTATTTTGATAGCTTTTCCTACCTGGGCTACATCCCAAGTTCAAGGCGCAGCAGCTGCCCAGGCTTCTGGGCTGGTGCCAGCCCTCCAGGCCAGGTCTGAAACCTGCTGCTTCCACTCTGCATTCTCTTCCCTCACACACCGGTGACCAGACCTGTTCCAGAAAGAGTTATGTGAGATCAAAGCCTGGTTGGGCACTGCTCGCCTTCAGTTTTCGAAATGGTGCCAGGTTCAGCAGGAGTTTGGCACACGAGTGTCGCTGGAGCCATTTCTCTCGCTGAGACCCTGCACTTCCTTCCAAACACTCTGGGCAGCTGGCGTGGCAAACACGGCACCACCGCGCCATGCTGCTTTCCTGCCCCACACCCCTTCCTACCTGAGAACACCACCTCCACACACCGCTCCTCTGCCTCTCCCAGTCAGGAACCCACAGCTCCTTGAGTTACCAAGTGAATTATTCAGAACCAGTTTATTGAGGAAGCTCAATTCGATGGGAACATCATATAGAAGAGAACTTAATCCAAATGGAGTCCCTGGCTTCTGCCCCTCCCAACTCGAAGGCTCTCCTATTACTTTTGTCTTTAGAGTCATCTCTTAGCATTCAATGCCTGTTTATGATCAACTTAAATGCAACCCAGAATGGGGCTGGGTCTCTGTGGCCCTGAGGCCTGGTGGGGCTAGGGTGTCCGTCTATTGATGCTAGCCTATGCTTTGCCATCATCCAAGGCCACATTCACCCTGAAGTGGGGATCCACTCAGAGGAAGGGAGCCAGCAGCAAGGATTCCTGTCGGGGACAGAGTGTGGCTTCCCCTGCTGTTTCTGTAGCTCACAACACCCAAGTGTACCTTGGACCTCCCAGGCCTACTGTCCCCTGACAATGTCCCACCCCTGTGCTCAGCCACCTGCTTCCCCATGTGCCCTGCTTTGGAATTTCCTGCGGTATGGTGGTCCCTAGATTCAAGTACCTTCTTCGGGGAAGCAGACATTCTGAAAGATGGAAAGTAGAGGATCAATAAAAAACCAGGAGGTTGCCAAAGACACACTATTCCCTTCTTAGAGGCACTTTGGAGCCATGCACTGTGCACTAGCAGGGACAGGTGACCTGGAGAGACATCTGTATCCATGGTAGAATGGTAAGCACATAGGGACATCCCAGGCTGCCGCCAATGCAGTAAAAGAAGACAAGCCCACCACAAAATGCTGCCATTGTCTTAGGCAGGGTCATTACTGCTGTGATAAAACAACAGAACCAAAAAGCAAGTTGGGAAGGAAAGGGTTTATTTGGCTTACACTTCCATATCACTTTTCATCATCATTGGAAGTCAGGACAGGAACTCAAACAGGGCAGGAACCTGGAGGCAGGAGCTGATGCAGAGGCCATGGAGGGGTGCTGCTTACTAGCTTGCTCCTCACAGCTTGCTCAACCTGCTTTCTTATAGAACCCAGGGCCACCAGCCCAGGGGTGGCACCACACATAGAGCTGGGCCCTCCCCCACCAATTACTAATTAAGAAAATGCCCTATAGGCTTGCCTACAACCTGATCTTTTAGAGGCATTTTCTTAATTGACATTCTCTCCTCTCCGATGACTTTAGCTTGTATCAAGTTGACATAAAACCATCCACCTCGGCCATCATAGAAAACACCACTATCTCAAGAGAAGTGGATCTACGAAAAACCCCAAGAGTCAGCTTTAGAAATCGCCTGCAGGTTGGAGATTTCGGTGTGGTGGACTCTAGCCCAGGGGTGGTTGCTGAGGTGGCTATATTATTAGTCACTTTTCTGTTGCTGTGATTAAACACCACGACCAAAAGCAGCTTATGAAGAGTTTGCTTTGGCTTGCAGTTCTAGAGGGAGAGGCCATCCTGACAGGGAGAGAGCAGACACCTGGTACAGGAAGCTGAGAGATCACATCTCCATCCACAAGCGGGAAGTGAGAGCAATCGGCAGTGGGAGAGGCTGTGAGCCCTCAAAGCCCCCCCCCACACACACACACTGACGTATTTCCTCCAGCAAGGCTGCATAACCTCCCAAACGGCTCAATCCCCTGGAGTCCATGTGTTCACACACGTGAACCTCGGTGACTATCCTCTCTCAAGCCACCACAGTGTCACAGACGGTGGCCTGACCAACAAACATTTGTTGTTGGCCACAACCAACATTTGTTTCTCAACAGTATGACATGAGGGTGCAGATTTCAACGTTTGAATTTGGGGACATGCTTTCATTCTACTGCAGATGGTAGTGTTTAAAAAATAACACACTGGTCAAGACCAAGATGGCCAGGAGACTCTCCGCCTTCCTCAAGAATGCCTGGGCAAAGGAGCTGGTGCTGGTGGTATCCTTCTCCGTCTGGGGTCTTGGTATAATTATGCCCATAGTCAGCCCCCCTGCGCCAAGTATGCGGGCATGATCAATCAGGCCACACTCTACAACTACCCAGTGCCTGTGTGAGATAATGGGCATAGGCCCGTTTGCCCAGCCACTCCCAGTACCCTCTGGGCCCAAGCCTGGAATGGCTGAAGAACCTGTGAACGTTCCTGCTGATGGAAGAGGCCCCCTTCCCAGTTGCCCCCCCCCAATAAAAATGTGAAAACCAACCCCACAAAAATAAAAGTAAAAAATAAATAAAAAATAACACAATGATCTCTGCTATTTGGAAAAGAGCCTCCTGCTGCCCAGAGAATGCTGGTCACCACAAACTGCTACATTCTGTGGAGGGAGTGAGAAACTGTGTTCCCCAGGCGTTCAGAGGGACCGCAATGTGTTCCCTCTTTCCTATGTACTAGCAATGGCCCTTATTAAGCAGATAGGGAGCTGATGAGCCTGAGAACAAGGTCCCGTTGACAAGAGAGGAAGTGTTCCCAGGAAAATTGGCTACTAGGGCTGTTGTTACAGCATGGCTTGTGATGAAAGAAATTGCCAGAAAGTTACATTTGCAAAGGAATGTGAATGTTTAATCCATGTAGCCAGACCAGGGAATGGAACATTTATTGTTAAGTGATTCCCAAAGACAATGCCCTGCCCTCCCCAAGGCCGGCTCTCCTTGCCTAGTAAGTGGGTCGAGAGGCATAGAAACAGATGATTCCACCTTGCAGAGGAGGACAGAGTGTGGATGTGGGCTTCCCCAGAGTGCCAGGCAGACAGCTGCTCTGGCGTGGGCTCTGTGACCAGGACAGCCGCCATGTCTTTGTCTGCTGTACGACCACAGCTGCCTTGAGCAAGCCAGGCCCTGGGGACACGGTTGGCGGAACCCCTGCCCTCGAGATGCACCATTTGGTGGAAAAGACCCAAGTTCAGCGGAAACATAAAATATTGGACAGATGAGAGGCTGGGGCAGGGGCAACCAGGAAAACCCTAACCAGGTCAGGGGGCGTTCTAACAGTAACCTTAAATCTGTGCCAAGTGTTGTTGGAACGAGAACAAGACCGGCTGTGCAGGCCTGAGAGGCAGGAAAGGATCTAGGCTAGCCCCTCAATGGTTAGTGTCAGGCCTGGGCGGGGAGGGGGGGGGGGCAGGTGTGGGCTGAAGAAAGGGGGGTTGACACCATTTCCACTCCCTTGGGGACAGCGTGGACAGACAATAGAGGTCAAAACCACCAGAGTCCTCTAGGCCAAGCAGAGATGCCAAGAGGAGGCACATGGTCATTGGCATGTTGGCCCAGGTCCCCACAGTCATAGTTGCCAGCTTTTACTTGGGCCAGACAGAGGGGTGGGTTAGGGCCTACACCTCTGTCTCTCTACTGTCAGGTCGAAGGGGATGGTAGACCCTTGACAATCTCCTGGGGACATCTAGGAAGCCACTAAGTGCTCTGCACCTGTGCAAAGCAGAGGACAGCTAGCTGGGACAGATTCTTACACACCAGAGACACAGACACATGGTGGCAACATTGAGGTCTGGGTCTGCTGCTGGCCAGAGCCTCTGATGACAGGGTTCTGCGGCTGCCCAACGCCACCAGGAACCTTTACAGCGATAGCATCCCACCCCAAGTTGCACCTGCTTTGGGGATTTTAAGGGAAACCTTAGAAATTGTTTTAGTGGTAAGAGATAAGAACATGTGAAGCAGGAAATCTCAGTCCAAACACAAACATGAAATGGACCAGAACAGGGCAGTCCGTGGGGCGGGCCAGACACCCCAGGGAAGGACTGCTGTACGGTGTGGGTGTGGAGACACATCTCACAAGACGCACCAAATTAATCCCAGAAGTGACAGTTTATTAAGGGAGGGGGGGGGGAGACCTGAGGTTCAAAGTACTAAGCCATCCCAGAGGCTCCAGAGAGCGGGTCAGGACTGCCTGCTCTTAGCCCTTCCCGGCCCAGTGGCGTCCTCTCTACAAGGCCACTCTGTACGACATTGTGTGACTTCCCCTCCACCTCATCAGCGTGCAGTGGATTTCCTCAGGGGTTCACCACAGTGTCGCAGAGACTACAGACACGAGCAGTCTGGGGCCTCCTGCTGCCTCGTGGAAACCTACCAAGACGGAAACAGGCCATGATTTTGTTTAGAAATATTTTGTTTAGAAAAGCTGTTTTCATTAAAAGACAGTACTTGAGCCTACATGTCGTTGGTTTCCTTTCGTGGCTTAAATGACATTTGAAATGTGACAGGGCATGTGCTGAAAGAGCCTACACGTGTGTGCCTAAGGATCGATCCTGGGGCCAGAGAGACAGTCTGAGGACATGGGCTGTGGCACAGGCACCCACCATGTCTGTCTGCTCTCTAATGGGCCCCTGTCCCGTACAGGTCATGCTCCCGGCTAGGTACCAGAGACGCAGCTGCCAGAAGCACCTCTCCCACCAAGCGTAAGAACTTCTTGGGGCATACACACCGTGACAAGGGACCCTTCTACCATACCTGGGCCCCAAGGCCTAGTGCGTCCTTTTGTGTAAGTGATTTCACAATATCCCCTAAGATGCTGACGTGTCCCAGCCACCCCTCCTGCCTCGTGCAGCAGCCCGGCAGAGCCAGGCGCTGCTTGCCTGTGTGTCCCGGCTTCGATCACACCCACAGCAAAAAACCCAGAGACACTTAGGGCAGACGCGACACACAACAGATTAGTATCTTTAATTGTATACGGAGCTCTTACAAACTGGTCAGGCCCGTCAGTGGAGCAAAGGACATCGGCGGTCTGCAAAAGAGGAAATGCAATCACTTGGTGTAAAAAAGACGCTCAGCGAGCTAGACTCGAGAGATGCAACTAAAGCATGTCGCTGCTGTCCTCAAGTCAGAAAATACTCGGCCCTGGCAGAAGACCCTGAATGGGACACTTACCCTTGCTGCTGGCAGTGTAATGGACACAGAAACTTCTGGAAACTGTTTTGTCAGGAGACAATAAAAGTCTCAGAGGGCCCCGTATTCGTTAATCCAACAATCCCACCTTTGAGAGTCTACCCCAGGGGAGTAACTTGGCCCTCGGAGGAAAACCTGACACAAATTTCTGCCGGTATGCAGCACTGTCCCTCCGCCTGAGGAGAGAGTTCAGAGCCATTCAGAATAAGGTTGGTGGCACATGGCAACAGCTGTGTCATAAGCGTAGGGTGGGGGTCCATGGGTGTGCAAGAGGCAAAGAAAGACGGGGCCAGGGACAGGAAGGAAGCATCAAAGCATGGAATTTGACCATGTCCTTTCCTCTCCCTGGTCCCCTAAGCCTCCCGTGTGTGCTGCCATGGAGAATGGTCCAGCTGTTGGTGGCACTGGACGGGGCAAAGGGCAACAGAATGGACTTATCATGCATGTTACACCGCAGAGCCCTGCCACCTGACGCCCTGTCCCCAGCGTGCTCCAGCCAAGCCCCAGGCTTGCCCCCTAAGTCACCCTCAGCCCACGCCAGCTTCCCCGCCTCCATTTGCTCCCCTGCAGGCGGATGCTCAGGGCATGCTCATCCAGTAGTGGTTCTGTCCTCTGCACCAACAGGCACCTGTCTCGGGCCAACCCAAATGTACCATCGTGCAGCATTCACGCCTGCCACGTACTCGGCTGGAGCCAACGAGGTGGGTCTTTGCTGTTTCCTCAAAGTCACTAAATGCTCTGGGATATGGAGAGAACCCCGAGGTCACATTTCACACTAGGCTGGGAAGTCACCCGCATGCCAGGTCCCGCTGTCAGTTACACTGAACACAGTGAAGCCTGCTTACCAGATGGGCGTCACAGAGTCTGGGGGGGGCAGGCACAGTGCGGCTGCAACAGTCAATGCCGAGAGGAAGGCCACTCCTACGTACAGCAACTCCTCCATCCCCCTCTCCCTGCTCTCTTCCGAGCTCAAGAAACTACAACCTTAGGATATGTACAAGCTGCCCCTCCCCTCCCCCTCTTCCTCAGCTTGATGCCCAGTTATCAAGGTCTCCCTCGGGGGCTGCAGGGGCCTTGCATCTCATCATTTTGGCTAGGGACTAACCACGCCCTCCGCTAGGGCCTCAGTAACAGACCCAAAGCGGCTCTTCCAGGTCCAAGGTGGAGGGCAAGCCTCAACCTTCTCTCATGTGCTCCAGGCTCCAAGCCACAGAGAGCTATCGAGATGGTTCTAAATACGGGGCAGCACTGCCCCCCATTTCCATAAACACAAGCACGGGGGGGGGGGGGGGAAAAAAAAAAAACACAACCACCAAGCCAATGCCACCAGAGCAGCAGCGCGGACCCCACTGCAGCAGAGCGACCCAGGTGAGTCAGCCCAGACGGCAAAGGGAGCCGGTGAAGCCACACAGGGAGACGGCTGGCCTGCCCGGCTCTGTCTCCAGCACCACCAGCCGAGGACTCTGGAGTGGGACATGAAGCCAATACAGCAGCCGGTGGTCCGAGGAGCCAGGGTAGGTGGCATGCCCTCCCAGTGGGTCTCCAATCCTGATCGAGAAGGCCGCAAAGAAACCTTCCAGGTGTCTCTTGCCTCCACAGACACCTCCCCGCTTCTGTGGTAAAGCTGGAGCTTCACTGGGGGTGGGGAGGGCGCCTCTACTGGAAGGTCCTGAGACTCAGCTCTTGGGGACCGGTGAGCACCCTCGGTGGAACCCCCAGGGAGTCTTCCACCTGCTCATGAAGCACCACGGTGCCAGCAGGGTGCCGTGGTCCAGGCTCTTCAGCAAGGGCTATCGGAGTTAACAAGAAGCAGGTGGCCGTGGGCTGTGAGGCCAGTGAGCGTTGAAGACTCCTGGCCCTGCAAGGACGCCGGCTTTGGAGTCAGTCACTTTTTCCAATAATGGAGGAAGTCTCTGAAAGAGGCCAGGTTCCAGGCCCCAGCCTCTGGACTCCCAAGAGGGGAGAAATGTATGTGGGTGGGTGCAGAGGTGGGGTTTTTTTTGTGGTCAAGCTAAGACCATGCAGAGGAGGGCAGGAGAACCCAGGAGAGGCACCCATCTCCCCCAAGGGGCCAAGTAGGCATGTTAATCAGGTGTTGAAGTGTGACAGATGTCACTGTCCAGGAGCTCGGCTGAGTCTGAATACGATTTCCAGGCATCCTTCTGTGAAGAAGTCAATGTTTTGCTCCTCAGAATTGGAATGTGTGTCCATATGAAGACCAAAGCCATTGGTCGCTCTTCACCAGTTCCTCAAACTGGGGCAGCAAGAGGCCGACACCCCCTACCGAAGGTGCCCGATGCTTCCTAGAGGAACTGGCCCCAGCCAGTCTTTTGTTCTTGGACAAAGGCCCGACATTAGGCCCAGGCACAGAGAGGGTATATGTTGGTGGGTTCCTTGGACCCCTAGAGATGGTGTGGGTGGCTGAAAGGCCGAGGTGAAAGCCACATGGCCCCTGGGTGGAAAAGGGCCTGGGGCTAGACAAGGCCACCATGGAGCCACGTGGGCAGAAAGGAGCAGACACCTGTGAGCCTCTCAACAGAAATTCAGGCAGCAAATGGGGTCCCCAGGTCCCCTTCAGTCTGCTATGGCTGACACATGGATGTTTCCTATGGCAGCCTGATGGAACTGCCCCAGGGTCCCAGGTCCATGATTAACTTGGTAGACGAATGCTAGATTTCCCTGATGCCATCAAAACACTGGCAGTCACAGACAGGTGTGGATGAGTCTCCTGCGGACAGGAGAGGCAGAAGGAATGTCTGTGAAGGACCAGATGTTCCCAGCATCAGCAGTGGGGTATGCTGGAACACAGGCTCCCCCATAGAGGAAAGGAGCCCTGGAATGCAGAGGGACTGACTACCTGGCTACCTTGCAAAGGGACCAGATGTGGGCAGGCTGGTTCAGGTACACATCAGCCACCTTCAGAGCCAAGATGGTTTCTTTCTATTCAGAACTCATCAGCAAGACCAGAGTGGCCAGGAAGGGAATCGCCAGGGTGCTTGTAGGGAGGGCACAGAAGCTGAATGTCCACTAGCTGAGCCCACCCACAGAGGTGGTCAGCCTAAATGGTTCCTAGGCAGGCACATGTCCAAGGGGCTGTGTTGTGATTACTAGAGAAGCTGGAATTGCAAGCAACAGAGTGGGGGTCGGGGGACATGCACTGAGTTGCAGGTAAAGCTAGCAAAACGCACAGCAGGGTGGATGACCAATGAGGATGGCAGGATGGCCTCCTACAGACTGGGAGAGACATGAAAGGTGCCTGCAAACAGAACAATACTACTCTATCGACAATTCTTCTCAGCAACAGTCTAGCTACCTGGGTGGCCACAGGTTCCCTAAAGGTTCCGGCTGCGGGTAGGCAAGGCCGGTGCCGGACTGGTCCCGTTGGAGGCAGGATGCACTGGGCAGGCTCCTGTGCCAGCTGTGGCCAGTTGGCGGCACAACATCTGCCGCTCCCGCACAGCCCTATTGGATGCAGATGTCTTCCGGATTTGTGCACGCCGTGAGTGCCTCAGCGGAGATTTGTAGGTTCTGCGCAGCTCGGCCAGAAAGCCCTGGTAGTTGTTTCGCAAAGGGCTGTCTGGCTGCATGTGGGGAATGGCCCACTTCTCGGCCTCCCCAGTCAGTCGGGACACCAGGAAGGCCACTCTCTCAGCTTCACCTGGGAAGCGGGAAGCTTGAAAGATCATGAACCGGTCCATCTGCATCAGGAACCCCGCCAACTGGCCGGGGTCTCCCGAGAAGGGTTCAGGCAGCGAGGTGGGCGGCGTGGTCATGGGTCGGGTCCCATTGGAGGTGATGGCAGAGATAGGTGGCGTGATCTGCAGAGCGCCAGGGATGCGCGCCCGGGTGCGCAACAGAGTAAGCTCGGCCATGACGCTCTCCAGCATGTTGGTAAGATTGGCCTTCTCCGCCCTCAGTGTGGAGGCCTCGCGCCTCAGCGCAGAGTTGGTGAGGCGCAGGGAGGTCAGGGTGTCAACCACGTCATCCATTTTTTGTGCGCTGGCGCCAGGGCCAGAGGCTGGCCTTTCGTTTTTGGAGGTTTGAGGTTGGACCATGCTGGCTAAGGTTAAACCACAGAGAGCTGGAGAACCAGAGCAAAAGGCCTTGGGTGCTGAAGCAGGTGCGCCCAGGCAGAATCTAGGCAGGCAAGCCTGAGGCCACTGGTCCTGTCCTGGGCGCAGTTCCTTTCTGCAGGCTTTGTAGGGTCAAGGTGTTGGGGCGCTGGCTGGACCTGCCCAGGCCTTGAAGGATGTTCAAGCTGGACCTGCTCAACCCTTGCAGAATGTACAGGCTGGACCTACCCAGGCCTTGGAGCATGAGCGAGTAGGACCTGCCCAGGCCTTAGGAGATGAGCGGGCTGAACCTTCCCAGGCCTTGCAGGATGCATAGGCTGGACCTGCCCAGGCCTTATGGGATGCGCAGACCTGCGCTGCCCAGACTTGGCGGGATGCACCTGCCGGAGCTCGGGCTGCGGGTGAAGGCGCTGCCCGCGGGTGACACGCGACTACCTGCGGGAGAACAAAGGGCGGCCGCACCTGAGCTGGCCCGGGCCGGGCCGCGTGTGTACCTGTCGCTCCGCCGCTCCCTCCGCTGCCAAGATGGCCCGCGGGTCGGGGCCGCGCCTTGCCTGCGCGTCACGGCGGCCGCCGGAACTGCTTCCCCGGCGGCGGCGGCTGCGGTTCCCGCGGGGCTGGAGTGGCGGGGTCGTGGCACTGAGCGGTCACCGCGCGGTCTTTGTGCGGGCGCGGCCAGCGAGACGGCAGCGGGAAACCAGGCAACTGGGTCGGGGCCTGCTGGTTGCCATGGAGACCGCCCGCTCCCGGAGCGCCAGCCGAGGGGGGGGGAACTTGTCTTCCGGAAGTGACGCAGCCCCGCCTCCCGGGCCATGCGCCTTACTCAGCAGCCTATCAGCGAGGAGCGTGGGTTCTGCCATTTGATTCTCTTGGAAAGCTTTGGTTCTTTCAGATTCTTCCCAAGTGGGCATGCTGAGCCGGTGGCTCAGTGGCTGTGTATTTAAGGTTGACTTTTCTTACTGTAACTAGAATGCAGTTCACATGAACTACAGGGTCATAGTAGCAAATCTTAGCAAAGAAGAAAACTATTTTTTATTTTAGTTTTTTTGAGCCTGTCTCCTGTAAACTAGACTGGTTTGGAACTCAGGAAGTAGCCAGGGATGACCTTGAACCTCTCCTGCCTCCACCTTCTTAATGGCTGGATTGCAGGAGTTCACCACCACACCGGATTCGGATGGTTTTCTTCACCTCCTTTTTTTTTTTTTTTTTTAAGCAGGATCTTATGTTGCCCAGGCTGGCCTTGAACCCACAATGCAGCCAAGAATGACCATGACCTTCTCATTCTCCTGTTGCCACTTCCAGTGTGCTGGGATTCCTGGCTCTGAGCCCCGTAGCCTTATGCAGTACTAGGATCAAACCCAGGGCCTCATGCCTACAAGCATGCCACCACTGAGCTGAATCCTGAGCCCTGGAAAAGTCTTAGGAAACAAAACAAAACAAAAAACAAAAACAAACAAACAAAAAAACCTTTCTGTTCCCTCAGTGTCCTACCTGTACATAGTAAATAAATAAATAAATAAAGTCTTGTTCAGTAGTCCGCCATTTTCCATTAGTATCCTATTATGAAACATTGACTTTTGTGCCTTGGAAACAGTCGTGTCTCCCTAGTCACGTTGAATTTTGAGACTCTCCTGCGGCGGCGGTGGTTCAGAAGCATGCCAAGGACTCCACTGAAACCCTGTGCAACCTTTTATTCCTGTCTGCCCTCTTGATAGATGGCCAACTTATTGTCCACGCTGAATTTTATAATATGCTCTATGCGAGTCCCAGGCCCCTCCTCCAACACAGCCAAGAGTTAAAATCAAGAAGTAACTTGGGGGAGGCGGAGCTAAAGGGGCAGCTCCCAACCTGTTGAGACCCCTTTGGGGGTCAAACGACCCTTTCACATGGGTCACATATCAGATATCCTGCATATCAGATTTTTACATTAGAATTTGTAACAGCTATGAAGTAATTTTTTGGTAATTTTATGGTAGTGGTGGGGGTCATCACAACATGAGGAACTGTATTAATGGGCCACGGCATTAGGAAGGTTGAGAACCACTGAGCTAAAGGTTTGAGTGGAGAGTCTGGGTTTTTCTAGATTGCCCTGGCTTGGTTGTTCCTTCATGGTCAGTTACACACTGGGGTGCATTGGGAGAGAAAATACCCTCTGTAAAGTCCTTCCAGGATGCAGTCCAGGAGACGGGTGGCAGTAGCCTTCTGAAGGTGGGAGGCAGGCCTGGGGTGGAGATGTGTTCATTCTGCCTATAGTCTTTGGTCTTGCGGTGGGGGATTTTGGCTGAGGGCACCCACATTTGGAGAAAACACTTGCATTCCGCTGTTCCAGACTGTATGTTTTGTGACAAGCTAAAACTCCAGAATGCGAAGCAAGAGAGGAAAGGAGGAAGATACTGTATACTTACATCACTTCTTTGAGGTCTCCAAAGTTGGGTGGAGGCAAGAGCTACATTCACCTTGACTGCGGTCAATGCGTTTGAAATCAGAAATTGTTCTGGACTGAGCCACTGCCGCACATGCTATTTCTGAACACACCTGGACATCCCCTTGTGACTCAGCCCCAGTAGCACAGTGGCGCCTCTCTAGGTACAGCTGTGGTTGACAGTATAGACCTGAAGTTCCCGAGTGCCTTGGAAAGAAGGTGTGTCATCTGGTGCCCAGAATGAGCCACAATAGCGCCACTCTTCGGTTTCAAATGAGCGAATTTATTAAGCACGTAGCAAGGAAAAGTAAAAGGACAATTCGTAAACAGCAGACAGAAAGCAAAACATCATAAATCAGTGTTCACAACACCCAGCAGAGGCAGCTGGACTAGCCTGGCTGAGAGCAGGCCAAGGGAACGGCGTCAGATAGTGGCTGAGGATGCCTAGCAGAATGACTGAGGAAGAAGGACTTAGCTGGAACTCCCGGTCGCAATCAATGACCTCCCAGCTTCCCACTCCCACCACAAGCATTTTTGTGCCGTGGGATAAACAATAGCAACTTCTGCCAGGCACAGTTGGCCTTCTAGCTGTCCCTCAGGGTGCAAGGATTTTAAGATCCTTAGCTGCAGGCTGTCTTCCTATCTCCAAGGCAGAGGCAGGGATCAGTTTGCCCCTGGAATGGAGTTTTAGAGACCCCCCCCCCCGAAACAAATATGCTAGGGTCTGGCACAAGGAACCCCACCCCCCACAGGCTACTTTCAGTAATCTTAAACAGCACGTGAGAATTTGCCAATAAAATGTATATTGCAGAAGACAGAAGGCTCACCCTAATTTTGGAAATGATAAAGCGTGACATTTGCTTGTATTTTGCCTCATTTCAAAGAGGCTATAAAAGTTGTAGTCCAGGAAAAAAAATGGAGTAAAGTGAAAATGTTAAGACTGGGATGTGTTTGTTTTTGAGACTAGGCTGTGTAGCCCAGGCTGGCTGCAAATTTCATGCAGGATGCCTTGAACTTCTGGTCCTCCGGCCCACACCTCCCCAGTGCACACCTGGTTTTTTACAATGGAGAGCAAGCTCTGTGCCTCATGTGTGTTAGGCAAGCACTCTGCCAACCTGGACAAGTACTCTACCAACTGAGTTCCAGCTCCAACCACCAAAACTACAGTGGGAAAATCAGAAAAGCAGAGGGAGAGCCCCTGGGTTCGGTTTGGGTCCAGACGCTGCTGTGACTCTAGATCTGAAGCAGGTCTCAAGGAAACAGGATGATGTGGCTGGGCCCATGGACAAGACCAGCCTCCCCGTCAGCTACAAATATGGCATGCTGAGTTCTATGGCCTCAAGTGTGGGAACAGGGCCAGGCTGTCTTTTGGAGCCAGAGGTGAGAAGAGAAACATGTCAATTGGAAAGAAGAAATTCATCTCAGTCATTTCATGGGTGATGGTGGGGGTGGGGGTGACAGCAAGTGTGAAAGTATGGTCCTTGGACCACACAGACACCATCTCCTGAGCCCATGTCACCTAGAGGGATGAACAGACCATGGAAGGGTGAGATTCTGAGACTCGGAATCACCCGGTCAAAATTATATTCTTCACCACAGACCAGGCCTCAAATACAACATGCTAGGTGCTGGGAAGAAGTGGGGAGGGAGGGAGGGATGGGGGAAGGGAGGAAAGGAGAGAAGGACAGAGGGAGGGAGAGAGGGAGGGAAGGAGGGGAAGAAAGTAGTTTTTATCCACAAATAAGAAAACTCAAATCCTGAAACATCTAGAGCTATGCTTGATGACAACAAAATCAACAATCTTAAAATGAATTAACTCCAAATGAATTAAATAGTTGGAACAATGAAGAGACTTTAAACTGAGCGTGTTTGGGTGTTTGATAAGAATAATGAGTAAATAATATTTATAAAGCGAACAGAGGGGAGGAGCATAGGGCATCAAGATCAGGCAGCTGTGGAAAATCAGGAAAAGGCACTTACCACCAAACCTGACAGCCTGAGTCAATGCCCAGTACTCACAGGGTAGAAGTTCTAGTTTCATTCTGTGCTGTGATAAAACACTACTATCAAAAGCAACTTGGGGTGGAGAAGGTCTGTTGGCTTACACTTCCGGGTCACGGTTCATCATTAAGGAGGTCATGGCAGGAACTCGAAGCAGAAACCACGGATGAATGATGCTTACTGGTTCATTCCAAGGCCTGTGTTTAGCTAGCTTTCTCATATAGCCCAGGACCACATGCCTAGGGAACAGAGCCACCCGCAGTGGGCCATGCCCTTCTGCATCAGTTGGTAATGGAGGAAACTCTCCATAGTCATGCCCATAAGCCAATCTGATCTGGGCAATTCCTCAGTGAAGGCTTTCCTTTCAGACGACTCCAGGCTGTGTCAAGTTGACAGCCATAGCCAACTAGGACAAATGTATAGAAATTTTCAAGCAAGCATCATTCACAACAGTAGAGAATGGGCCCACGTGCCCATCTATGATGCATGGAAAGCAAAACCTATCAGCCATAGGAGAGGGATGCTGGTTTGTGCTACAAGGTGGACAAACTTTGAAAACACCATGCTAAATCAAAGATGCCAGATGGAGTGGAAATGTCCGGAATAGGCAATTCCCAAAGACAGAAAGTAGAGTGGTCCGTGCCAAGGTCTGGGGAGAAGGAGGGAATGGAGAGTGACCGGGCACAGCTGAATACAGGATTTCTTGGGGGTGTAGAATGATGGAAACATTCTGGAATCAGTGTTGATTGACTCCACAACATGGAGAAGAGACTGAAAAACTCTAGGGAGATTTTTTTTTAAATGGTGTGTCAATCATATGATTAAAACAAACAATGGCCCTTCACATCAAAACTCACAGAAACGCAGGGACAGAGGAGACCTTCCTCAACTGGATACCAAGCAACTACAGGTTTGGCGAGATGGCTCAGCAGGTAAATGCACTTGCCATAGAAGCCTGGTGACCAGAGCTCCATCCCAGAACCCATGAGAAGGTGGAAGGAGGGAATCACCTCTACACAGTTCTCTGTCCTCTACATGCATACGACTCCCACCTGCACAGATAATAAATACCACTTAAGAGGAGAAGCAGTGCAGCCCCCCCCCCCACTTCGAGCTGCGGGTGTCGTGGCTGAGGAGGGAGCAATTTCACCCTACGGCTGGGCAGGCAAGGATGTCCCCACTCAGCATTTGTGTTCAGCACGGTGCTGACGGCTTCAACCGGTGCAGAGAGTCAGGAAACAGAACCTGAGATGTTGTCTTAATCACTTTCCTGTTGCTGAAATAAAACATGATGAGCAAAGCCACGTGCAGAAGGAAGCATCTTTTGGCTTGCAGTTCTAGGGGGATAAGAGTCCG